ACGTTCTCCAATGAGAACAAGGTTCCAACAACGATACAAAAGACAAACTACAGACTAACTACCCATTCACTAAACTAGCACTACAGTGCTAGTGGAGAAAAGTAACGACAGACAAGCTAAACTGCACATAAACAGTGAAATCTCTCCAATAAAAAAAGACTCAAAGTTCAAAATATTTCCGTATGTCATGAAAGGGGGCATTGTATCAGATGAATATGCTTAACCTAAAAACGATTGAGATAATAAGGCTAATGCTTACAACAGGATAGCTTATATGAGAAGCTGATATTGCTCTCAAGGTTTAAAGATTTACACCTAATTAAAAATATACATCAAAGCTTTTTTGCATAAAAGTATACTGAAATACAAACAATTCTATGAGATTCCACCAGCATATACGGAAAATAATGGAGTTGGAATGGAACAGATTACAACTGTTGCGTCATCTCTGGATAGAACAACTCAGAGAAATAAGACGAATTGTCTTGGTAAAGGACATAAACATATCAGTATAGAGAGGTCTTGTCTTCCGCAGGTAGGAACCTAAGAAAAATTTTGAGCCGATCGAGTCTCACTCTAACCTTGAGATGTACTTGGTTGTAACATTCTTGTACTTTGTCAGGAGTATTCATAAAACATCTTTTATTTGTTCTTTTTTCCTTCTTCTTTTCATTTTCTTAAATTGGATTATGATTTTAACATCTTGGTATAATCTCTTGTTTAATAGAGATTTATTAAGAGGAGGAGAATATCATATTTCACCAACAACATAATCCGCATCAAAGACTTAATATTCAATTGACTAACGACTAACGATCGGAGGATCATGCAGTAGATGTTAATCCTATTGAATTAGACCTGATCGAGATGAAGGTAATATCTTAAAACATTGGGATTTTTTTCCTGAAATTTGAAATCCCAATTTCAAATTGTTTGATCAAAGAAAAATGTATATAATATTTGAGCCCGAAACCTTGTAACCAACACTCCTAGGTTTATTTACTTTACGCACGTTCGTTTTCAAACTCCCGATGTGACTAACTTGCATATATTTTGTGAAATCTGATGACGAATGCAATATTTCTTCGGCTATAATGTATATATGGTAAACACAACATTATAAAAATCTTTTAACATAATCGTTCTTTTAAGTGTGTAGTTCCAGTGGTTGATTTGCTATACAATATTCAGCAAGGTGGGCCTTCAAAACCTTTGCACAGTTCATGAATGCACACTATTTACGTGCATACAATCACTATAACCGAGCGCAGCAGGCGTAAGGCAGAAAGTATAGAAGAAACAAGGTAACTTCAGTGTGGAAATAACAAATACAACATGTATTATTACAGACACATCCTGTAATGTTATCATGCTATTTAGATTATCACGTTTCTTCGGTGAACTCATCTCACACTTGACTACGTAATCTTATATCATTTGTGATAACTCAATTGGTACATCTTAATATATTTATCATGTTAGAACGACATGGTCTTTTTAAATACGTGGCGACGAAATCTGAGCACTAAATCGTATTGGAACAATCACATTAATATCTACAACTTATGGACTTTGATTAAAATATAAGATCACTGCACGTTGGGATGAAAATATTTTCACATTAGATTTGTCATAAAGTTCTAGAAACTGTATATAAAGACATAAAGCACATCACACTAATCTTAGAAAAACCAAAAATAGAAAATTGTTTTAACTGTAAAGAATATATGTCTTTATCGCAACCATCTTTTAAATGCCATTTGTCATCTGATTGTTCATAGCATCATATATCTAATATTTAGAATCATAATAGATTACTTATTTTAATTTTCAACAGCACAAAAGTAATTACTGTCTTTGTCCGGCACATCCGTACTTCAGTATTGTCCTTATAAAGCATCATTTCATGTACTTTCTAAACAATGTGAAATTTTACATCGAAACATTTGATTTTTATTATAAATCATTTCGTCGGTACTTGTAATAATGCCTGAAAATGTCGGAATTCATTCTGGAGGATACTTATTTACATTTAAATCCCCAAATTTATACATTTCATCAATCTGTGTGATAAACCTGGTGATGTTTCTAACAATCGTGTTTGATTTTTTTTGTTGGGCTGTTGTTATCACTAGTTATTATCAAATTGCGAGGGATTTCATTTGATTCTATCTTCACATGCATATTAAATGTAAACGTGAATACAATGCGTAACCCTGATACAAAAGTCTACAGGATCATACGAGTTGTCCTTCTTGACAAAGCTTACTATTGCAAGCTCGATCAACTCGAAGAATCCGAACAAAACAATTGTCGTCTGTTTATGTATTTTCCTAGAGAGGAGAAGATGTAATTTACATTTGTATGCTTTTGATATTATGAGATAATCAATTTAATACTACACGAGGTTTTTCCGTGACCTTTTTATTTATTTGGACTACTGTAGCGGCACTTAATATACACATGTATCGGATGTTTGTTGAAATAATTCAATATTTGCTCGATATGAATTTAACTAAATCTCCCCCACCTTCTTTTAGACAAAACTGGTTTCCTTAGTCACTTTCTAAGTTCACCTCACTTGTCGTAGAAGAACGAAACAGCTGTGTGTTGCATTTTTATTTGATTGGCTTTATTGTAACTTATTCCTTAGTGTCCTTCTTATTGCTATTCACCTGTGTGTCTCTTAACATCCTAGAGAAGTGAAAAGATCACCTGTATATCCTCCTGTTGTTCCGCTCTGTTGAAGCCCTTTTCATTGCTTTGGCTGCATGTTATTCAAAATTATACTTGCGTCCATAAATCATAAAACATTGACTATTTGTCAAAAGATTCAGACAAGATGGATTAACATTTTATTGATATAACAAATATCTATTTTCTGTAATAACAATTAACACTTCCACGCAAACGAATTGAGCGTGCATTGTACAGATAAATATGGAGAGTTAGCGTTGTAAGGTGCATCAACGAATGATACGATATTAAACAACAATTGTAGTATGACTATAACGGTCTTTCTATGGAAAGTTTGTATTTACATCGGAAGAGTCATTATGTATAAATTTCATAATACTTATAAATTTTAAAAAAATGATATTTTAAAATGAATTACAAGACAATGAAATAATGACATAACGATACAACGTATAACGCAGAGCAATGGCCAAATGGAAACCATCCTAGATAAAATTGCTTCCATTAAAAATCATAATTGGATAAAATCATGTAAATTTTATGGTGCGATGCAACGGTAACACCAGAAATATATCCAATATATATTTAAATATTGTTTTTATGAAGAAAAAACTATGATATCTGGCCCCACTTGTATAAAACATCTCAACTTGAGATTTCCTCAAGCCCAGATTTTCTCCAGCTAATATCTCCTTGAAAATATCTTGTATGAAAATTCCTCAAGGAATTTCAGAACATCCTAGCCGATGCCTTCCTCCTGTTCCTTGAGAAAATTTTATACAAGCCACTTTTGAGGAGATATCAGTTGAGGAAAATCTCGACTTGAGGAAATCTCAAGTTGAGATGTTTTGTACAAGTGGGGCCTGGTTAATTACCTTAATTATCTGTGGTTGTATTGAGTATCATTAGGAAGTTAATCAAGACTGCATGAATGCCATATAATTGTTTACTGCAAGGAAAATACATTATACACATGATATGCACTGTATTATTTAAAACGCCAAAGTAATAAAATGATATTCTGTAATTATGAATTCGTTATATTGGGCATTAGTTGGGTTAATAATGCGTAAGCGGAACGTTTTGTAACATATATTTAATCACATGGTACATCATAAAAAATGAAAATGATACCATTTATATTTAAATAGTTGTATTTACAAACTTGTGAATGCACACATAAATAACAGCTCTTTGTAAGGTGATATGTTATGTTTCACATCCTTGCCTGAACAGATAGTCCAGGTGGCTAATTCTGCGTAAACAGTAAACAGATATGACAAGTAAAATAATTATATGTAAATAATGCTAAGTGTCTGTCATTTGTTCACAAATGTTCTAACAGTCAGTATGAAAACTATACCAAACTGTTATACTTCACGATTACATGTCGACTAACATATCTGCCTTACTCTTATGTTATCTTTTTATCAGTTAAATAAATTATCAACAGAGATATACTATTGCTGCAATTGCTATGTTGTTTTGGTAACAAACAACGCAATATCCACAAAGGAAAGGGAAAAATAATACATTCAGAGATAAAAAAAAAACATAACAGCAACATGGAAATTGATAGGTAATGAAAACAACTCTAAATGATAACCTGGAACATGACAAACGGGTGAAATCATTGCCAACTTGAACATTATTGTCGTAAATGGAAATTGATTTGTGTATAACAAGTATAAAATACACGAGCACAGAGAAGTAATACCTAAATTAGCAATGAAGAAATATCCTGTAGTATTGAAAGCGTCAAGTTCACAAATTGAGAAAATCAATTACCTCTCTTCCATAAATTCGTACATTGTGAAAAGGGGAGATAAATCCGACTCCTTTTATACATTCAAGGTAATAATCTTTAAACAACAAGTATTACGAAAACGAACATTAACTACAAAAATGATTGTGATAAGAGGTGGCAATTATGACTGTCCAATAAGCCCTCATCAGGTCCGATACGTTGATTAAAGCTTTCCATGCAGGAACTATGCAGGAAGTCATCAAACTATTGTCTGGTGCATTTTGGGAAAATCGATATGAGGATCATTGCTGATATTTGAATGGAGATGAAGATTTTTCGTTTAGCATCCTTAGATCAGTTACGTCGAATCTGTTTTCCCCTGTCCAGCCCGCGTTGAAGTGATTGTTTTGTAACCAAATCGATTTTATAATGTTTGATCCGGTTGGCTTCCATCTCATAGGACAGGACAGCAGTAATATTACAGCGGGAACACTTTACTTTACAGCGGATATAGTTTAACTGTCCCGGTAATGTTAGCCAAGACCAATCATTGTTTTTATATTAGAAACATCTCCAGAATTGTAGCAATTGGAAGCATCAACAATGTCGTGACGATAGCTTTAAAGGCGAAACTGTACTGAGAACCCGTGCTATCCGCAGTACTCGTCAAAGCTGTGTAGCGGGGTGGTATGTCTGCAATAAAGAAAAAGATACATAATTCTTAGTGAGAACGTTAATTGCTAGCTGTAATTGTTCTTTAGTGTAAATAAACGTTGAACAGTTCAGTGTTATACTTACATTTGCATGCATTGTTTCTTAGTACTGAGCACAATGACAAAAAACGCTATAGTAATGTACTGTATTAACATTGCATTACCATTGATCAATAAGTAATGTATTTGCAAGCCTTTGGTAAGTATTTTTCACGCAACATATATCGCAATCATCTCAATTTTAAAAATGTTCTTTACCAAGATGTGGGTTATCGTCAGAACTGAAAGAATTAAATCAAATGTATTAAACTGAATTGAACAAAAGTTCATTGTATAACCATAAGGTTTTATAGACATTCTTACGTGATTTGATTTCAAACCGGAAGTCTTCTAGAAGCCCCTTTACTTTGATGAAGAATGTCTCCGGAATGTTTTCATGTGATACTTGTAGAATACTCGTCATTTCCTCCGTTGACTGGTTTTTCTGTGGAACATGGATTAAAATATCATATATTTACATCTTTCGATCATAACATTAAGATGAAGATTCGTTCTTTTTATAGACCACATTTGTATATTAGATCCAAATTCATACTTGATAATGAAGAATAGTAGAAAATAAAATTAAATGGCAGATTCCTTGAACAGTAATGTAGACAGAAATAACTTCCTCCAGGACAAACACTTTGGTGAAGTGACAGAAAAACAATATTTAGAACAATAACGTAGACTAAGAATCATGGAAGTACAGGAACTGTAAGAGATGGCCTTGTTCTCGTTAATCTTCTACTGAATGTGTTAAACATACTTCTATTCCATTAACATGCCATGTAGTTATATGTATACATTGTTTATAGTCTTTGTTCCGGAGCTATATAACTACCCTTTACAGACACGCTGTGGTGATGATACTGCTTTAACGTAATTGAATAAGTGGGATGTTTCGGTTATTTAATTTTGCTTATTGTGATTTTTTTCATTTCTGGATAGCAATATTTATATTTTGTATTTACATGTCACTGTTAATTCGATATTCAGGGGACTGTTCTCATTATCACGATTTTCGTGCAAGAAGTCGTCAACTGACAGACAAAATTGTAACACCAGGTTTCAAAAGATGCATGTTGATGAAAATTATGGGGTAGTTGTATGGTCGCCATTGAGAATTATTCTATTTCTTTGCGAATCTGAACGTTCGTTAGTTTGCCTGTTAGATCCGTTATTGTACACCTTGTTCTTACTTGGATTGACCAAAGGTTACATGGCAGGTGTCATCGATGAAGCAGAAGACGCTTAATATTCCGGGCCACCTGGCCTTATTCTCCTTGTACTGTTTTAGGTGTCTCCGTTTAAATCTGTCTTTTGTTCATATTTTGCCATAGTATTATGGAATTTGAGATTTTTGGTTATGATTAAGGTTGCCATGTTGGTATTTTCTTGATGTTTGTCAATTTATCGGCAACATGTAATGTGCGTAAAGTTTTTACACGTAACAGTAGATTTAAAATTCAGAATACAATACGCTTCTATCCATAACACAAATATGTATGTCATCTTTCGTGTTTACAAATATGATAACGTAATCAGTTAAACTATATAGATAACTAAGTGATGATTCACCAAACACATTACTATTGTAGATTAGCTTTAAAACTATTCCGATATAAGTTATCGATTGTTTGTACTACAGCAGGTTGAACAAAAACATATGATGGAAACAGATGATTATGTATTTTGATTTGCTTTACTGTATCTAATTCAGAATTCGATTAAAAGGTAATTATCACTTTTATACAATCATTGAAGAAATAACGACAGCTACAAACTAAAGGTGGTATGTAATTATGGTAGCCGCTCTCTCTATTGCATGATCGTAAGAGGCGACTAAATTTTAGGTATTTCTACATTCTAACGCCTTATGTTTTCTTTGACAATGCCTTATTTATATTCTTTAGTTGAGTGTCGACCATGTGAGGAGCGATTTTAGTTCTGCCCTCACCCCCCTCAACCTCCCCCCACCGCCCCCCACTCCCCACCCCCACCTCCGGCCCGAGACTGGTATGCCCATTGTCGTAAGCTAGTCCTGTTCAGTGTCTTCGTTAGTATACTCTAGTGTAATAACACTTCATTGTTTGCTGCCATGCCGCACTATGACTATCAGCCTCACTCCTCCCCCTCTCAGAAAAAAGGCCACATATCTCAACTCTGCACTCACCTCACACGCATACTGAGGCCGTCCTCAAATGCGATCAAAAGAGTTGAAATGTCACTCTAATAAAAAAAGGTTAAGTTCGGCACTAGCATGTAAAAAACAATTAATTTACTACAACTGTATACAAAAACAATGTGGATTAATTGCTATGGTATACCTGGCACGATAAAACCATGGCGTCATTGTTCTGCCCTGTCGGAAACGGATCGGTATCGAGTGATATGGCATTACAGTCAACTCCCGTCACACGGCATTCCACCTGGTCCCTCTGTCCTTTTACCCATTGATGTGGCCGACACGATACAGTTGGTACAATGCCTTCATCTGCACAATTAAATCATGTACAACGTAATCTGTTGAAAATAAACAATTAGAATCAAACTCATCGTACGCAACTCCGTGGTAGGTTTACCAAAGGAACTTCGAGAAACTTTGAAATCTTACATCGTCATACTGTTCACTACCACAATGACATGTTATTTCATATTGTATATAATAATTTTATTACTTGCTAGACCATGTTATGCTGAGGTTGGCAGCAGTAAAAATAGGTTTAAAGCTATAGATCACCTAAAGTTGATAATTTACAACCATTTTAAACATATGACCATACTTTTATATGTGAACTGATTTGTTGAAAGTATGTTGCAGAAATGCTTGATCGGATGACAAAGTACATATCAACATTTAACCTATTTAGAATCCATGACGAAGTATCTATGCTAAAGCAACAAAATCGATTCCATTCATGTCCGCTCTTGTAAAAGATAATACACCGAATCCGTCACAAAAATCCAGTTTTTATAACGAATAATACAGATATTTGTTATTGAATCAGTTACTCAATCGTCCTACGGTGGTATATGCAAGTCCTTTTGTCCTCTCGTTCCTTTGCATGTCTGTATACGAGCTAGGAATAACTGTTCTTAGGATTGAGTTTCTAACGTGATATTGTATTGTGTACGGGTGACGTTAGATATTAAACACAGTTATTCTGTGTATGCTGCATTTAGAAAGAGCAAGAGATGTAAATCAGACAACGTAACAGAGTCGTATCTTGTCTAAGACTTTGATGTTAATATCAACAAGAAGACAAAGAGGCAGCGTAATAGAAAAAAAGGAAAATTGACTTGAATAGCATGTCTTTCATCAGTAAAGTATGGAAGTGCAAGTGAACATGCAGTGAAGTACATGTTCTTAAAACTAATTTATTAGAAACAGGAAATCTAACATCAAGGGACACTTACGAACATTGGTAGAAAACCCGATGGTGTGGGTGTCTGTGAATTTATCTGTTGTTCTCACGCGACAGGCTACATTTCTGTCTTCAGAGCTTAGCTCGACTTCCACAGTTGATGTGCGGGCAATTTTAAGGCCGTTTATCAAAATAGTGTATGATATATTAAGATCTTGTCTTTGTGTGGCACAAACTAGTCTATAGGTACCAGATGTGATGTTAACTTCCTGTAACGGAAGGTCAGGTGCATTTGAATCTCTGTACACTGTGACTCCCGCTTCAGATATCACCTCCCGATCAAGTTTATGTAGTGTTAGAGATGTATGACCGACATCACCTGAAACATTGAAACGTGTTTATAAATAAAGCTAAAACTAATTATATCTAGAACAGTTATAATCACATGACAGCTGCAGTATCAGCGTGACCTTAAGTGAAAAGTACAGTCAAACATCGTTACCTCGAACTCGTTTAACTCGAGGACCCCGTTTAATTTGAATTCCGTCGGTCGGTACACAAAGCATTCGCGCTCACCTAAAGTTTCCCAATGGTCTCGACGAGTCGAAATAACGAATGTTCGACTGTATGTACTTTTTGTTATAATCTAAACTTGGATAAACGGATGTTTTCGCTGGAAGTAAATGACAGCTCATTCATCAACAACACTCGAACGACCGCGTTCTCTTCGAATGGTTAAAATGCTTATTGTTCAGAAAATTTGGTCTGAAAAGGAAAAAAATGCGACAGTTCAAGCATGACGGAAAAGCACGGAAAGATTACGTGTTTGGGTAACATTATCCTTGTGAGAAATTTATGACGGATAAAACTACAACAAATAATGATTAAGTAAAATGCGGAAAAAATAGGTCAAGATGTTACATTCGTTTACATGGCGTGGCCCTATTTGTCACGAGACTATATTTTATGTGTCAAACACGTGTGTTTGTGCTTTTGAGTAGAGCACGTGTATGGTGGACTGATGATATTTTTTTCCAAGCTAATCTAGCCTCATTTTGGCCAATTAACCTTGAATCTATTCGTTTATCTACTGTCCTGTTAATGTTATCTAGCAGCATATCAGCAATGTGTATTTTTGTTTATAAATCAGTACATTTACGTATCTGTGAGAAGAGGTCTAGTACTTTAATATACTCATTAGTAGTGGAAAGTACTTAAATGAAGCACAGACTGCCCAGCGCAAGTAACTGCAACTTAATCCTTGTAAAAGTTTCCTTTTCAATTGGCAATAATAATGATGTTGTCACCCTAAAGTAATAACAATTACACTGTTAATATTTCCTTCAAAAGACTGAATCATGAAAATATTAATCAGTATCATTGATTAATTAATCGGTAGGCATTTTCCTTAAGATATGCCAAATTTCTCCAAAATTGGTTTAATATCCTCGCGGCGACAGACAGTTACTTAAGAACGGTTGTCGAGAGAGACACAGAGTTGAAAATAAAGCAAAGAAACAGTAGGATCGGAAAAAAGAAATAACTAGGATCTCAGATGCTTTATTGAGTATAGCCGATCCGATATACCATGGTAGATGACAAAGGAATACAGACTACGTGTGGCGCCTAGTTCTGGTCGCATCTTTGGATCCTGTTGCGAGATATGGATTCTTTATCAGTGTAATATACGTGTATATTATTTACCTACACTATCTTCTGACATCTGAATATTACGTGTTGATTAGGATAGGTACACGCTCGTTCAATAAAGACATTTTTACTATGGTAATGTCATTGTTATATAATGACAGATATTATTGTTTTATCATGACAAATACCATTGTTATATAATGACACATGTTATTGTTATATGACAAATGTTATTGTTAAATCATGACAAATTCAGTTTTGTATAATGACAAATACCAATGTTATGTATAAAGGCAAATAGCATTGTTATATGACAAATGTCATTGTTATATAATGACAAATACCAGTGTTATATAAAGGTATTTATCATTCTTATATACTACAAATGTCAGTGACTACAGTTGTTACCATTGTCGTAAATTTCAAGAAAAAATGTGATGATCGTTTGTTTAAATCTTGTAATAGCCCGTTGTTTAATTCCTTTGATACACCATTTTCTAATTCCTGTGATATTCCATTGTCAAATTTCTGTGATAGTCCATTTGTCTAATCCCTGTTATAGTCCATTGTCTAACGTCTGTGATAGCCCATTGTATAATTTCTGTGATAGTCCATTGTCTAATGTCTGTGATAGTCGATTGTGTTATTCCTGTGATAGTCCATATTCCATTGTCTAATTCCTGTTATAGTCCATTGTCTAACGTCTGTGATAGCCCATTGTATAATTTCTGTGATAGTCCATTGTCTAATGTCTGTGATAGTCGATTGTGTTATTCCTGTGACAGACCATTGATCTTATTCCTGTGATAGACCATTTTCTAATTCCTGTGATAGTCCATTGTCTAATTTCTGTGATATACCATTGTCTAAATCATGTGATAGCCCATTGTCTAATTCCTGTGATAGCCCATTGTCTAATTCCTGTGATAGTTCATTGTCTAATGTCTGTGATAGTCCATTGTCTAAATAATGTCCATTTGGCTATTTTTTGTGATATTCCATTTGTCTGTTTTCTATGATTGTCCATTTGGCTAATTTTTGTGATATTCCATTTGTCTGTTTTCTATGATTGTCCATTTGGCTATTTTTTGTGATATTCCATTTGTCTGATTCTTATTCTTTATTCGTAAAACAAAAGAAAGCGTGTTAATTGTAATTTTTTGTTGGATATTTGATCAATTGTTCTACAGTCAATAAATTTTCCGGATTAAATTTGAAATTTTTTTTCAGAAGTTTAGCTGTAAAACTGTAGTATAGAGAAAATGCTGAAAATGTGCGGTCGGCGTTTTGATATTCATGAGACTTATTACTATATACAGTTGTACAACAAAACACGAAACGTGGTGTTTCAAACACACTATCTTTAAAGAACTCACTAACACAATCTATTATGATATAAAAGACAAATGGATGTTTCACATCATTTCCTTCAATACTTTCACCAACTATAATTTCCTGTGCTGATATGTTTCATACTCTGCCTATCCTGAAGGTGACATTGACCCTGAATAATCTGATATTTTTACGATATGATGGTACACTCACCTTTCATAACCTTGAGCGTTTCTGTTTTGTGGTATGTTACTTTTGATCCACATGTATAGTTCCCTGAGTCTGCCAGTGTTACACCTGTAATTTGAACAGTCTAATGATATCACCTGTCCAGTAGTTTCATCTTGCATTAGAACTATGTAATAGTCATAAGTAGTTATTGTAGTCAGACCGGAAAGATCTCAATAGAAATCTCAGGCATGTTTTGAATTCCTAATTATTTAAATTAAGTCTTTACAAGTGACATATATAAAATTAATTTATGCCTATGAGCTAGATCTCAATGTGGATAAAGCATGATAGGAAATAAATGAATAAAACGAAAATTCACAGAAACGTTGGCGTTTACATGGCACTATTTAATTCACGAAAAGTTGTTTATCATTGTGGATATAAAAAGCATTATTTTTCGGATTTAGTCCCTAAACGACAAAACTGTAGCATTTAACTGTTGTAGTGTGCTATATCTTTCATATATTTAAATCATGTGATGCACTTCGAAACCTTAGCACAATATCTGGAATATTTACGCAACATAAAAAGAAACGCACATGTAAATTATGCAATCAAAATCCTATGATATTGTTGGAAATTTGTATAAAAAATTCTTCGATGTGAAGGGAAAAGTCTACTCTTTGCAATACTGTCAACGAAAAGTATGTGTGGCTTCACTCGTGTCGTCAGTAGTTACTCAAAGTGGGATACCCGCGAAAAACAAAACGACACTTCAGTACCTGGTGTGGGCACCTCTTGCACGAATCCTTGCACGGATTCCCTTATGCATTTAATTCATGAAAACATTAATTCGCCTTAAGGGATCAAGTTGGCGCGGTTAGTTGGAGGTTTTGACGTTTCCTAACATGCCTGTCCAGTTCATCTGCGATGCTCAATGGGAGACATGTCGGGGCTATATGGGGGCCATTCCAAAGGCAGAATGTTGTTTACCGTGAGAAAATCACGACAGACTCTGGCAATATGCGATCGAGCATTGGCTTGCTGGGAAATTATATTGTGACGTCTGAGAAGTGGAAGGACAGTTGGTTGCAGGATTTGGTCGCTTTATCGAACGGCATTGAGGATTGGATCCAGGACCACTAAGGGGGATTTTACTCCATGGGTGATACCTCCCCAAACCATAACAGAAGGTGACCCTACATAAGGTCAGTGGGCAATGATTATCTCGGCACGCAAGTGGTTCCTGGCAGTTTGAGCACTAATGGGTCTGCCTTGAGTGCCTAAGTTATGCGACGCAGTCTCTACATCAGTCTTAAATCTGTTATGCAGGTGCGACAATCGAATCACCATGTCTTGTCTTGCGGTCGTTACACTCGTGCGAACGCTCTTGGGACGATCGGAAACTAGGTCAGTATCATGGAAACGTGTATAGATACGGTTAATTATACACGGGGTTACGCAAAACTGCCACGTGACATCAGTTTGGTTATGACCATCCATCAGCATCGCAACTGCTCTACCCCTCTTAATTTTGGTAAAACATCTGGGTCAAGGGCGAAATCAAAATTCCAACGTTGAAAATTAACGTGGCTGAATTTAGAGTATCCGTTGAAATTATTCATAAACAATTATTACAAAATCGTGGTCACGCCGCGTGATTTGGACAAAAGAAGGTCACAAAGACAATGGCATTGTCACGCTTGGCTGATTTTAGGATAGATTGTCGAGAAGGGGAATCATTCCTGATGTAATACCTGACTAAATACTCCATTATTTCCTGACAGCTAAGGTGTACTGCAGGTAAGAACTTCGTTCGATTTTTTTAAATACATCTCACAAAATATAGAATATACACGCAGGTATTTCATATTTATCTATATGGCATACAGGACTGGCGACACAACTGTGGATTACATAATATTATCAAGGTCACGTCCGATTTCTATATCTATATCAACAGAGATGTAGCACAGAAAATGGTGGCCTTTTCTTATTTGTTATTATTTGTCATCTTTGTTGTATTTAAACATGATTAAACAAATCAAACCTCACGTTTTGATATTTCTATTACATAGGTACTGTTGTCTGGTCCCACTGTAAAGTGATGAAGTTGAAACCCGCTCGCTTGGTCAACGTCTGTGTTGATCGCTATTCCAGTCATCACTGTACCCTTTGTGACACTAAAGAACACGGGATCAAACACCAAATGCAGTGGGTTAACACTGACGTCACAGGAAAAACGGAACAAATCTCCTTCCTCCAGGACATAATGCTTCAACTGACACAAGCACAATTCTGTAACATAAGGAAATGTATATCAGATATCTGAGGAAGAAAATAGATGTAAGAAGCAAAGCGAAATACGAAATCAAAATAAAAAACAGGTTCTCAAAGACCAAGAAGGCTGTACTGCCAAATATATCAGATAGTACGTTAGAATTTAGACAAACTTTTGTGAAAGTAATGATTGTTAATAAGTGCTAAGAAATATTTTTTTAGATTTAAATTTTGTTTGATACTTTAACTTGGTCGCGTTCGATTACCAAAGCCTTTATGTCAACGCATATTAGAGGAAAGTGCTATAACAGCGACAGAGAATCGAACCTATATACCTATATGATACGGCCCATTCGAACACATTGAAAATAAAGACATTATATAACCGCTGAGTTAGTTAAGATATCATAATGAAGACCATATTTAAAGAATCAAGACGACTTAAAGTTTACCACAAATAAGACTATTTCGTATGATAAAAAGTATCTGAAAGTTTTTTTTTCCATTTCGCATGCAAATCATGAAACTCGACATTTTATTATTTTGAATTCTGAAAATTGAAAAGTGTGCTCTAACTCCTCTGTCTTGTAAAAGCAACAAAAAAAATAACGACATATTAACAGAACTCGGAGGTAAATTTGAAATCTAAAATACGAGTGCAAAATATGAGCAAAAGAGTCATATTTATACCCGTGAAAATGGTACAAGGTAAAGTAAATCCAGTCGCTCCGGAAGTTAGAGCGTCTTCTGCTTCAACTATAGCGCCATTGATTCCAACCTACAAACATCTCCTGATTATGCTAGAAGAGATCTGCAATATTTACAAATGAAACTTTTTTATAACCACTGAGAAATCATGCTCTGCGTTTTTTATTAGAAGAATAACATATTATTTGATTTAGTTTAAACTGACATTTAAGACTTCTTAATGTTCCATAGAGATCCGTAATATCCGAAACGAAAGTAAAAAAGCAAAGTATGAAATTAACGAAAAGGATTGATTACAACTGGTTAATATGTAGACATATGTTTAAGTATCGTGTTCTACCTTACTGGATTCACAAATAGACTAATGCAGTTCATACTTTTCGGAAATCAGATGAATTTGTTTTAATATAACACATCTTAAACTCAGTTGTGTTGGTAGAAAGAACAGGAAGTTTTGTTTTTATTATAGAAACAGAAAGGATATTGTTTCATGGAATCCGTAAAACGAAGATAAATTTTCTCTGGTGTTCTAATTTTCATGGCATCTTTTTGAAATACCGTATTCGTTATATTTGATTATTCAAAAGTGCTTCTGAACTGATCCAACTGCGATATCAAACAGGTGGCGCATACCTTCAGTTCAAGGTAAACGCGTGAAGGCCACCACTTATCTATACGTAATTCACGTGTGGTCACACATGTCGAACTAATTACGACACGCGTACAACAGTGTATTTAAAAACTTTTAGTAAACTGATATTAAATGTGTTCAATTCAATATGTTTATAATTTTAATTTTGAAAATTTGGGACATTTGAGTATTTAATGCAAATGAAAATGTCTTGTACGCGAATCATTTCTATCAGTCTTAGATGATTAATGTTACATGCCCTTGAGAGAGTATTTATCTATGTATTAAAGACAAAGATTACCAAAGTAATCTATTAAATCATTGATTTTATTATATTCAACAATAAGCATCTTTGTGATGTACATATGACGAATGTATTCCTGTAAACAAGAGGAAGATGTTAAAACCCTTCATCTACATTTTGTTAAATAAAAAAGAAAGAAAACTGACTTTATCCTTTATCTAGTTTTTTTTCTTTAATGACTAGAATTTCCCTACTCTCGACCCCTTGTGTAGATTCTGTAAATAACAAACATAATAGTCTTTCCCGTAGACTTCATGTTGTGTTTTGTGTAAGAGAAAATATGTAAGATACATTCCATGAAGTGTCTTTGAATGTAAACCATATTCCATGAAGTGTCTTTTAATGTAAAACATATTCCTTGAAGTCAAACGTAACTTCATAAATTTTTAATTACCGGATGAAATACATCTAATATTTCTCACTATTATTCGGGTGCGTTTTATTTAAAAATGTAATCGACATTTTCCAATTTTTTTTTATTGTGTTCGGTTTTTAAAAAGAAAGAAAAAACAAGTGAAATAAGATGAAATGGAATACCGAGAATATCTATATTTCACTCACATGACAGAGAATATATCTATATTTGATAATACTAAAAGAAAAAAGTGTACGACACTAGACGGGGAACCATTTGATATTAGAAGTACATTGAATACTAGCCACGGAGGTCAAACGGTATGGATGTAAGGTAAAGTGCAGCATACTCCCTCAATGCACTGACAATCCTATTTATAACTTATCAGTTATGACACATTCAAAGTGGGAACGACTTAGCCTTGAACCCGAGGAGTGTGTTGTTGTCCGTTACGCCAAATTAAATAAGTTATCTCGATGAAAGACCTTGAGACTTTTAGGGATTTTCGTCCCTTGGTACTGTCACACATGCCTGTTTCACCTTCTACTGATATTGCTCGGTAAAATTAAGCTTAATGTCTGTTAAGCATTAATTAGCTTTTCCCGTTTTCCGCAGAAATTTACACAGAAGAAATTTTACCTGACGACAGTATATAACACTGGTACTGTTGACCCAATTACAAGTAAAAGGTGAATACATGTGGGAATCTGAGCCCCCCCCCCTCCCTATTCCTCCTATTACTATCATTGATGGACGATAAAGGGTCCTGACCCTGACCCCTCAGTGAGGCAAATTGACGTCTATATAGATAATACTCATTAGATCTGATTTACATTCATTTAAGTCGATCGTAAGAATGGATGTAATGTCGGTATGATGTGGATGTGGGGTTGTCGTACCCTATCTATGGTATTTTAACGTGACGGCACTATAGAGCACTAGGGTCGCGAGGTTATGGTATTTTTACGTAATAGAACTACAAAAGCTGATGTTTAAATGTGTTGCTAATTTTAAATAAGATTTGTCACGCTGTGTTAGGATGTTCATCGTTTACTTTCGTGATTCATGAGTAACGTAGTTACATGTGATTATACTCCAGCAGAATGTATTTTTTTCAGATATTGAGTAAGCATAACCAATATAATCAAAGACATTCGTGATAATTAGTACCTAATCCATCTAGGTACACGTTCATACGCGCACAGCAGGTATAAACCTAGAGAAAACCTTTTCACAGTTCGACGACATCCACCATGTAAATCGAGGTTTACATGGCGGATGTCGAAGATGAAGCAGAAGACGCTTCCTCCTTACGGAACACCTGGTCTTATTCTCCTTGTACTTTTTTCAGTGTGAATTTTTCCTTTGTTCATATCTTATCCTTGTTTTATGGAATTTGAGTTTCAATTATAATAATGTTCACGTGTTGTTGTTTTTTCTTGCTTTTTCTAACAGAGAATACGGCATGATCAACATGATTAAAGACGATTTATCAGGTCTAACGTTTATAATGACCTCAATAGCATTATTTTAAAATGATGGTGGAAATTGTTGGATATATACGTTTTTATATTGATAGTGTGTTTCAAGAAATAGGACTCCTAAATTGACTGTGTATTGCACATTTTTTTCGTGAATATAAATGTCCCATTACCTATTACAATATATGTAAGGAATAAAAGTAGAGAAGAAATTGAAAAGAAGTGAAGCTCTGATTAACAAAACAACAACAATTAAATACCAACATATCAACAAAAATCATAATCCAAGCTCACATTCAATACAAATAGGGCAACATATTAACGAAAGAAAGATTAACACGGATACTCCTGAAAAAGTCCACAGACCAGAAGTCCGGGTTCCAGTTCCGGAATAGTAAGCGTATTCTGCTTCATCGACGACATCCGCTATATACATTTTGGTCAATCTAAGTAAGTGATGTCAAATTCTTAAGGACAATGTATACAGAGGAATCAACAGGCAAACTAACGAACAACAAACACGTCAAGCTTCATATCACAAAATGAAACAGAATATTTGTTCAATGAGATCACTATGAAGACAGTTAACCTTCCCCATTATTTTCATCAGCGTGATTCTCTTGGTTTCCGTGTGTTATGAATTTTTCTGTCAGTTTACGACATCTTGCATCAAAATCGTGATATTGGTAACAGACCCTTGAATATCGCATCAACTACGACATGTAAACGCCATAGGTTGGAGATGCAAGGAGGTTGCTATCCAGAACTTAGAAATTCACAACAGGAAATTCAAATCGTGTTGATTTCGTTGTTTGAAAATGATTTTCAATATATATGTGTACCGTGTTCCATCTTTGTTGGAAAAGGAAACATAACAAGTTCGGCAACTTTCTTGGTTATTGTCTCGAGACTTTAAAACATAAATATGAATAATATAGAATGCACTATTTCTGTTTGAGATCACTATGACGACCGTAAAGCTCTCCCATAATTTTCATCAACCTATATCTTATGAAACCCTGTGTTATGTGTTAGTCCGGCAGTTGACGTTTTCTTGCACGAAAATCGTAATACTGGGAACAGGCCCTTAAATATCGAATCAACTGCGACATGTAAACACGATAGGTTGGGGATATCGGGTTCTTCACATCCAGAGACGGAAAAGTTAAGATAGGGAAAATGAAATCACCATGCTTATCATACATCTTGGTGGAAAACAAGTTGATTTCATTTTGGGAAAAGATCGAGATAAGCGGCTGATGTAGAAGAGTGAAATGATGATAAAATTAACGATCATCGGAGACAAATGTCGTAATGTGGTCATTAAATACAAGTAGACTGGACTGTTTAATGCTACATTGATATATGTAACATTTATCATACAACAATAATTGTTAAATGTATGACAGTAGACCAGTAACAAGCGGTGATTGTCTCGGAAGGTTGTTTTATAGAAAATCAGGCCCCACTTGTATAAAACATCTTAATTTAAGATTTCCCCATGCCCATCAAGCCAATGTTTTCCTCAGCTAATATCTCCTTGAAAATATCTCGTATGAAAATTCTTCAAGGAATTTCAGGACATCCTAGCCGATGACTTCCTCCTGTTCCTTGAGAAAATTTTATACAAGCCGTTTTCGAGGAGATATCAGCTGAGGAAAATCTCGACTTGAGGAAATCTCAAGTTGAGATGTTTTATACAAGTGGGGCCTGAAATCAAAGACGAAATGAACGATTTATTTAACAGTGGACATTTTTATAATAATTATTTTCCTTTCATGAATTCAGAAATATGTTGGGAATACAACATTCTAACATTTTTTTTAAAAAGGTGGGTTCATTCTGGTGGTAGTTAGAGGTATTTAGGTGTAAATTCTTAGCCTCCATTGGGTCGTTTTCGTCATCAATTTGTCCTTTTGTTCTGGCATTCAATGTTTATTGATAAGGTATATGTGATGTGTATTACGCTGATCATGAGTGATAAGTAGATTTTCACGAGTGCCCGGTCAAACGTTTACAATGTTTGTATAATACATGATGCTGGATCGAGAACGTGCTGTAGCATTGCCCCTTAAGCGTTGGCAATTATGTCTTGTGCTATGCCAATATAAACATACTGTCTTCATTCACTAGATAATATCAACATTTGTACTGGCAGTACAAAATCTACGCATTACCAACCTACTGACCAGCCCCAGTTTATACTGTAAAAAAAAAGATAGATCTGGAACACTATTTAGTTCAATTTAAAACTCTTTCAAAGTCCTGAAGATTTGTAACTCTATACAGATGTTAATTAAATCTGTGGACACAATAGTCAAGGGATTAGTGGGATTAGATGTTAAATCTTGCAGCTGTTTCGTCCTTCTAAGACTCGTCAATGATGTTAGATCAGCTGTTTAGTCCTCGTTGGATTCGTCGGTGATGTTGAATCATACAGCTAACTCGTCCTTCTAGGACTCGTCAATAATGTTAGATCACACAACTGTTTCGTCCTTCTAGGACTCGTCAATGATTTTATAACACCTGTTTAGTCCTTGTTGGACTCGTCAGTGATGTTGCATCATACAGCTGTTTCGTCATTCTAGAACTCGTCAATGATGTTACAACAGCTGTTTCGTCCTTCAAGGACTCGCCAGTGACCCTAAACCATAACACTTAAGAGATGATGGAGACAAATCAAATTGATCGATATATAAATGTCAAAATGTCTATAGTAACTATAACAACGAGGCTTCATTTATGTCAATCAAATAACACACAGAAATTATAAACTTCAGCTCAAAATCAAACTTATTAACATTAATACCTGTAGGGTCAAAAAGTCATAGTTCGAAGTATTGTTACAAGAGAAAAAATAACTAACATCACAATAGAAGAAATATTTAGATTACGGATTGCGAGCTCACAGCTGAGTCATGACCGTAGAGTGAAGGCTGTAGATCGTTAAAGTGAACCCGACAATGATATCACACTACCATAGTAGTTATAACTGGTCAGTGTGTGGTTTGTCAGTAACATTTCTGGCCAATAATGTATGTCCGAAATGATCGTAAAACTTTAAAAACAGTATACTATGTCTACAAATTAGGTATACATCATAATTTTAACAGATAACAAATGTTATACTCACGGAAGAAGCAGAACTCGGCTATCAATGAAATCGACGTCTTCATCTTTAATCCGTCTGATACACACTGTCAATGATTACTGATACACCTGTGTTACACATGATGCATGTGTTACTCCGTAGGCACATGTGCTGTACACGATAGCGATGTACTCATTTATTTGTAAGCACTACAGGTAGATTAATGTTGAACAAGCGATGTCCTCCTATATATAGGTATATACGCGATCCTTTTTAAATGGCGTAACCTAAAACAAGGACTGGTCAACATAGTTTGATCCTTGTTCTGCCAACCAAAAGACGCCGTGCGGAAGAACAAAACAACAAAATGACGAAAACTTGTCAAAGCGAAATAGCGAAAAGACGAAAATCCACCAAAGCGATAAAACGAAAACCCGTGAAAACGAAATATTGTAAAGTCGCCAAACCGAGTAATTATCACAAGTATGAAAGTTTATTTTCGTATCATACCAGTGACTTAGCTGTTATCTTGAATACACCTGTTAAATGATTTGAAATAACGCAATGCTTAAAGTCCCTGAAGTTTGCCGAAATATGCATGCCACGTTTTAATTCATTCCAATAGTGGCATAGTATGGAATATATTCATGTACGTGATGTTGTTCTGAAATTGTCTGATATATGAAAATTAGGAAATTGATTTAATTATAGGGCTCCTGCATCTCCCCGACTAAATTTGACTTTTCTTTCGATCACTTGGATTTTCCTCAGTCGGCTCTTAGGCTTCACAATTTAGGTCCTTAGCATCACTGGCGAGTCGTAGAAGGACGGAACAGCTGTATGGTGCAGTTTAATTCATTGTTTGACTCTACTCTACCTAATTCTACATCATTGAAATATTACTATTCACTTATGTGTCTTTTTAACTATCTTGAATATGCATGACATTCTGAAATTATCAAATAAAGAATAACAACTTGTATTAATTTATAGGGCTACTTCACCAACCAACCAACTGCCCCCATTGCCAGTTTTTACACAATGTTTTGCTCTGAAAACTTATACAATAGCAAATCGACATTTTGATATTTGTGCTTCAAAATCGGGCCCAATTAATATAAAAACAAATATTACTATCTGATGTATGTTTGCCAAAGATACGACTATAGATCAAGCGTCGTTTTAACCCATTTTAAGTATATCTGTAGAACACTCGTTCGCTATATCAAATGCTATTTTTATCTGAAGTTGATAAAAAGATATATAAGATAAACACAACGTTATATCGGCTAGATAACTATCTACCTATTGGCATGTGTCCGTAGCTTGGAACAGTTATCAAAATCACCAAGGAAGATGTTTGAATGAAGGGTGGGTATTTGACACTATGAAACTAGAAATTTGCCTGTATTCCCACTTAGCCCACTGTCTATTTTTACAGGAAAAAATGTGGGCTAGAAGGAACTGGTGTGTGTTTAAGAACAATGGATTTCAATTGTCCTAAAAGTATAGTCTCTTTCATTAAAATCAGTATAGTTTACATGATATATGTATATAAGGGTGAATTTCTGATACTATCTTGTATATTTTTTTAACTTAAATGCATTACACAAACATTTCACCAAAATATAAATATTCTCACTTTAACAGCAATATTGAAATAGAAAGCACAGTAAAAGAATATACAAAATGTTTATACTCATCCTTTTTATTTCAATATCAAAATATATAAATTCATGATAAAAAAGGGGTTTTTTCTCATCTAATTTTAATTAAAATGTCATTCATTTAAAAAAACACAGCACTGAACATATCATACTAAAATTGAAACATATACAACATTTTATTGTCATTTTATTTAATGATTTGTTACAACCGTAAGACAGTGTCTGAACCATCCCGGATATCGATTTTTTGTTACAGTCGAAAGACAGTGTCTGAACCATCCCTAAGGTCAATGATTTGTTACAGTCGTAAGACAGTGTCTGAACCATCCCGGATATCGATTTTTTGTTACAGTCGTAAGACAGTGTCTGAATCATCCCTAAGGTCAATGATTTGTTACAGTCGTAAGACAGTGTCTGAACCAACCCTAATGTCAATGATTTGTTACAGTCGTAAGACAGTGTCTGAATCATCCCTAAGGTCAATGATTTGTTACAGTCGTAAGACAGTGTCTGAACCATCCCTAAGGTCAATGATTTATTACAACCGTAAGACAGTGTCTGAACCAACCGTGATATCAATTATTGTTACAGTCGTAAGACAGTGTCTGAACCATCGCTAAGACAGTGTCTGAACCATCGCTAAAGGCGATGATTTGTTACAGTTGAAAGACAGTGTCTGAACCAACCCTGATATCAATTATTGTTACAGTCGTAAGACAGTGTCTGAACCAACCCTGATATCAATTATTGTTACAGTCGTAAGACAGTGTCTGAACCAACCCTGATATCAATTATTGTTACAGTCGTAAGACAGTGTCTGAACCATCGCTAAAGGCGATGATTTGTTACAGTTGAAAGACAGTGTCTGAACCAACCCTGATATCAATTATTGTTACAGTCGTAAGACAGTGTCTGAACCAACCCTGATATCAATTATTGTTACAGTCGTAAGACAGTGTCTGAACCATCCCTAAGGTCAATGATTTGTTACAACCGTAAGACAGTGTCTGAACCATCCCTAAGGTCAATGATTTGTTACAGTTGAAAGACAGTGTCTGAACCAACCGTGATATCAATTATTGTTACAGTCGTAAGACAGTGTCTAAACCAACCCTGATATCAATTATTGTTACAGTCGTAAGACAGTGTCTGAACCATCCCTAAGGTCAATGATTTGTTACAACCGTAAGACAGTGTCTGAACCATCCCTAAGGTCAATGATTTGTTACAGTCGTAAGACAGTGTCTGAACCAACCCTGATATCAATTATTTGTTACAACCGAAAGACACTGTCTGAACCACCCCTAATGTCAATGATTTGTTGCAGTCGTAAGACAGTGTCTGAACCAACCCGGAAATCAATGATTTGTTACAGTCGTAAGACAGTGTCTGAACCAACCCTGATATCAATTATTTGTTACAACCGAAAGACACTTTCTGAACCACCCCTAATGTTAATGATTTGTTGCAGTCGTAAGACACTGTCTGAACCACCCCTAAGGTTAATGATTTGTTACAGTCGAAAGACAGCGTCTGAACTGAAAAGGAAACTCCATTTTTTCGCATCATACTTCAATATCAATGGTCAGATAACCAGTTTCTACAGCTACATAAAAGATAATTAACATATGACGGAATATAAAGCATTGGATATTAAGAAATCGAATGATATTATAAGTATGATATGGTCAAGTACCACAACACACCGAATATTGTACGTTAGTAAAAAAGTGATAAGAATGTTTTCAAACATATATTAAATGGAAAACAATAACGTTGCATCTGACAAGAATGTGATGTTCTACCTCTTCAATAGAGAACAATGTATCACATAATGCGCGTGTTATATAGAAATTTCGCCCGCGTCAACAATTTCGCGTGCATGTCTCTTGAGAGTATTTCAATGGCTGCGCCGGTCAAAAAATTAATTATGATGTCATAATATAAACAATGACGTAATGTCATGAATTGCGTTTAATTTTGTCCTTCACATTTTGTTCTTAAAATCTGTCAAAATATAAACTTTTTGGAATAATTGGATAAAAAGTATCATAAGGTTTTTTTTTCATTTCATGTAAGAAATAAAAAAAAAACCCTTAAAAAACAATTTCTTATGAATTGAAAAATCATTTAAGATCAAATTACACATGTAAGACAAACATAATTTTTTTCTGTTTTCTACTAATAACTAAAATTCACAAGGACAAATCCAAATAGATTACAAGATCTGGGTCATTTGGAACCAAACTATACTTACAAACGTGTCATTCAGATGTTTAAACTGACACATACAGATTATTCAGAAATCGCGTGTAGCACGGTGTGATTTAAATAGTATATCCATTCACAAGACTCACAATTGGTAGGTTAAAGTCCGTGCGGAAATTCTACCACGGTATTTCTGACGACATCGGGGCAAAGTACAAACCCTGAATCATACACACACTGTTTCCTTACTACCAAGTATACATCAGTCATCATCGTATTCATAGAGACCAAGTATGATAATATCACCAGTAGATGCACAAACAAACACGATTTATTTCCTGAAGTAAAAAAAAAAGTACAAATAAACCCGGAATAAATATACCGGATCACTGTATTACTTCTTATTGAAATAAAAACTCAAAATATTTTAATATTTTTAGATTATTGCAAAAAAGGCACAAAAAGATGATAACCTAATATTGACCGGAGTTTTACCACGTTATAAAAGTGTTACAATGAACTATATTTTACTAAGGACAATCTTTTTTAGAAAGGCATAATAAAATATATATATACAAGTATTGAGATACGTTACAAACCACAAAAATGTAGCTTAGAATAGCAAAATATGACAAGAATAGATAGAATATCGCGTTCGTTTGTTCTGTCATTGAAATATTTAAAATCCAACAAACAAAACAGGTAAATAGGACGACAACAATGTAGGCTTTCGTGGGTTTCAACAATAGGTGTTCGACAAGGAGTAAGTACGTAAATATTTGTCGGCTTCTGTATGTCAGTGTTCAGGTATAGAGACGTGTGTGCTATATTAAGACGTTAAGGATTGTACGCTTATTAACATGTATATACAACTCATCCCTACGTAATCAAGTGTTTCTACCTAGAAACTAAAACATATTTATTAATGGAATAGAAGTTCTTATCACACAACCAGTAGACTATTTGATGGCAACATCTTCAGACAAATGACAAACGTGACACGGTCAGATTGAGTTGTCAGGACTGCTACTTTTTATTTTGGTGACATTACGTACTGCCCCGAAGAAAATGTTCCAAAATATCAGATTGATTTGATTTGAGTAACCTTACAACAAATGCTACAGACAAATCGTATAGATTACAAAGGTTTGTCGATACAAGTGACAGACTACCCGTTCCGGACTAGTTCACATATTTTTTTTTTCATATTTACTAGCATGCCACCTATTTATCTGTAATAATGA